TATTTGTATTAACACAGAACTCTATTATCGCCAAATACTATTAGATTAGTAAAAACGAAACACATTTACTAATCAAATATGCTTAAAATGGATAGACATTTACACAATTGTATACATTTTTACGAATTACGTGAAAGCGAGAAGGCACAAAAAAATATTTTGAAGTAACAAGAGAAGTGGCAAAGAAAATGAAATGAAATGAAATTCACCCTTCGAGCGTGAATATTGAAGGCAAACAGTAAATGTAAAAAAATAGACACGTCGCACTTGCTGAATGCTTCAAAAGGAAGGAAAATTTTGTTCTTCCGACAGAAACATTTGCGACACGCCATTATATTGAATTTCAATTTTCTATCTCACTTTATGTCTCTTGACACAAAATTTTCACTCATTGACAGCACACAACGCGAATGTACTTTATAATGAGCTTGATGAATTTTGATATTGTGTGCGGATGTTGGAAAATATTTTATACTGTTTACTGTTTGTCGCTCGGTTTTAATGGCATTTGCTTTTTTTTGTGTGCTATTTGCCCTTAGAATTTGTATTTGGGATATATTTTCGTGCTTTATCGTTTGCTTTGTAAATGGAATTATATGGTTACGATGGTAATTAATAGGCTTCATGATTGAATTACTCGTCGGCGATAATCGCGTGTATTTTCAACAAAAAAACGTGTATTTACTTTCAGTCTTTAATGTATTTTATTGAATAGAGAGACTGGAGTTAAGTTAGGGATTATTGGCTATACTTTGAAATATTTAAATGGTGAAATTATTTTTCATTGTCCTAGCATGTAGCTTGAGTTTAAATCTGCGCTTTAAAGCTTGATTGTCAATTCTAAGTCGTCGCTTTAAAGCATAATTATCAATTCTAAATCGTCGCTTTGAATCTTGACTATCAATTCTAAGTCGTCGCTTTAAATCTTGACTATAAATTTTAATTCGTCGCTTTGAATCTTGACTATCAATTTTAAGTCGTCGCTTTATAGTTTGATTATCAATTTTAAGACGACGCTTTAAAGCTTGACTATCAACAAAAGTCAACGCATTAAAGCTTGATTATCAATTAAAATCGTCGGTTTAATTGCATGACTAACCCTGATTCTTGCTTATCAAAACGAAGTCTCAAAAATTAAAAAATCTTCTTAAAATAGAACTCAATGAGCTTAATGCTGTCTATGTCTTATTCTATCGACACCGATATAAATTCACTGTTGAAACAACGTGCCGTTCATTATTGTAATAAATGCTAATTGACTGCCTAGTAATGCCCGAACATACAATGAGCATGCTCAGAGCACATTATTTGTGAGCCTATTAGCCTTTGTGAGAATGTGCTCATTTTCATACATATCAGTGATGCGCTTACGGTACCTTCTTGAGCATGCTCAGTGAGCACATTCCTATGTGACATGTATTAAGCTCATTGAGTAAACTCATGAGCATAAACAAATGAGAAGGCAACATGTCACATGCAACATTTTTCTCATGTAACATTTTTATTGAATATACTCATGAACATTCTCAAAAAGTACATACTTATAAATATTCTCAAAGAGTACATACTCATAAACGTACTCAAAGAATATATACTTAGTGAGTATATTTATGAGTATATACTCATCTGAGCACACTCATGAGTGCACTCAAGTGAAGTTGCAAAATTCAAAAAATTAATTAAGCTTAATTTGAGTATTATAGGTTAGCTGAAATTAAGTACTGTTCCGTTTATTTCTGTGAATAATTTTGAAAGAATTAGAAATTATTAATATTTTATCCCAAATCCTTAGAATTGAAACATATAAATCTGGTCACCCATCCTTGTTGAAATATCTTCTGCGTTGCTTAACTTCTGTCATCTCACACTTTTCCTTGGAGCTATTGTCTGTAAATATATAATAATTTATATATGGCATAACACATAGTTAAATTATTATATTTTTACAGGCGAACTAAGTTCTTTGAAGTTTGGATCTTATTAAGCACCAATTTTAAAAAATCATTATTTTAACGTTTTCGATTTTGCTGACATTTTTAAAAAACGTCAGCTTCTTTAAAAAATCATTATTTTAACGTTTTCGATTTTGCTGACATTTTTAAAAAACGTCAGCTTCCTTAAAAAATCATTATTTTAACGTTTTCGATTTTGCTGACATTTTTAAAAACGTCAGCTTCCTTAAAAAATCATTATTTTAACGTTTTCGATTTTGCTGACATTTTTAAAAAACGTCAGGTTCCTTAAAAAATCATTATTTTAACGTTTTCGATTTAGCTGACATTTTTAAAAAACGTCAGCTTCCTTAAAAAATCATTATTTTAACGTTTTCGATTTTGCTGACATTTTTAAAAAACGTCAGCTTCCTTAAAAAATCATTATTTTAACGTTTTCGATTTTGCTGACATTTTTAAAAAACGTCAGCTTCCTTAAAAAATCATTATTTTAACGTTTTCGATTTTGCTGACATTTTTAAAAAACGTCAGCTTCCTTAAAAAATCATTATTTTAACGTTTTCGATTTTGCTGACATTTTTAAAAAACGTCAGCTTCCTTAAAAAATCATTATTTTAACGTTTTCGATTTTGCTGACATTTTTAAAAAACGTCAGCTTCCTTAAAAAATCATTATTTTAACGTTTTCGATTAATCTGACATTTTTTAAAAAAGGTACACAATTTGCTCTTGAATAAACTCAGTAAGTGCACTCATATGAGAATATAAAAAAAAATTGTGTGACACAGAAGTGAGTTTGCTTATTATATGCTCATGAGTACATTCAGTAAGTGCACTCATATGAGAATATAAAAAAAATTGTGTGACACTGAAGTGAGTTTGCTCATTATATGCTCATGAGTACATTCAGTAAGTGCACTCATATGAGAATATAAAAAAAATTGTGTCACACAGAAGTGAGTTTGCTCATTATATGCTCATGAGTACATTCAGTAAGTGCACTCATATGAGAATATAACAAAAAATTGTGTCACACAGAAGTGAGTTTGCTCATTATATGCTCATGAGTACATTCAGTAAGTGAACTCATATGAGAATATAAAAAAAATTGTGTGACACTGAAGTGAGTTTGCTCATTATATGCTCATGAGTACATTCAGTAAGTGCACTCATATGAGAATATAAAAAAAATTGTGTGACACAGCAGTGAGCTTGCTCATTATATGCTCATGAGTACATTCAGTAAGTGCACTCATATGAGAATATAAAAAAAATTGTGTGACACAGAAGTGAGTTTGCTCATTATATGCTCATGAGTACATTCAGTAAGTGAACTAATATGAGTGAATTCACATGAGTATGTTCTTAATATTCTCAAGAGTATACTTATTGAATACACTCACGTGAGCTTATAAAGTTTTTGTAAAAAAATAAAGTGAGTACATTCGTAATGAACTCCTGAGCATGCTCAGTTAAATGAGCTTGCATGAGTATAATTTTTGAGTAGACTCACTTATATGCTCACTTTTCTGAGCATGCTCTTTGTATGTTCGGGATGACGATCCAATTATGCGAATAATTACTAAATTATGTGCCGAAAAATATAGAAGAAAAATTATTTTTGTTTATTGTTCGAAAAGAGGAATCGCTTTAGGAAATTATCGATATTTAATGTTTGAAATTTGATCAACATTGAGCTGTGCGTAGGCTCTTGATTTCCTAAGACATCAAAGTAATGATTTTGTGGGTGCCATTGCTGTCATATCTTACGCGAATCTGTTTACTTTTGAATATTTCTTCTACTTTTTTGAAGACATCAATAAAAAAAAGTTTAAATATGAGAGTTTCAAATTAGGATTTTTGTCTTGAGGGCTTGCGAAGTTTTGCAATTTAATTTCATGATAAAATGTTAAAATGTTGATGCTTTGGAATTATTCATTGTTATTCATAGATCTAGTCTCGCTATGAGAATAGATGTGTTTTTAAGAATTTCTGAGAATCTGTTGAAGTTTTCTAAGTTCAGATGAATTTCGATGCATTAAATGCTAATATCATAGCTATTACGTAAGAATTTGGTCAGTCAATAACATGACCTCTCCCTATCTTTATCAAATTTTCAAATACAATCCACAACTTAAAGATGGCCAGCCTTTTGGAACTAGATCTCCAAAAATCCTAATTTAAGCTTTACAAATTTAAAACATTCAATTTTGTTATTATAAGCTCCAAATCCTATACCTATTCAGCATATCATACCTAAAATTAATATTCATTCAACTGACAAGCTACTATACATTTCAGACATAATAATATCCTATAATTCAAACTTATAACTCGTAAAACAAATCAACAAAACCAGTCAAATTATTTCAAAGCATTTCTATTTAAAATTCAATAATTTTGCCGTATCAAAATTTCCTATGAATTATCTACTCAGGAATAACATTAAAATGAATTTCAGCACTTCCAATCTAATCTCCCGATTCACACGAAAAGCACGATGTAGAACAATTTTCCCATTAAAATCCAAAAATAAAGGATTTAAAATAAAATTTGCTTGTCTAATAAAAAACTGAAATTCCAAAATAAAAAAAGTACGCAAATAGACACGAGACTATTTAAAGGCATGGAAAATGAAAGGCAAATTTATGAACATTCATGAAAAATGAGTTGAAATGAAATAATAGGATTACGTGTGTTGCAAATATTAAAAAAATTATACATTGGCACATTTCATTGTTTGCTGTTGCCACGAGCAGGAATAAGGATTTTTCTTTTTATTCCATTTCATTTTTCACTTCTCGTTGCATAAAAAGGCAGCTACCATTGCCACTTTTGTATGCGGTAGTCTAAACACATCGCATAGTTTAATGGCTTTTTTTTCTCCTCATTCTGTCTACATATATCCTCATGTTACCGTTATTAACACCATATCATCATTCTGATAAACTAACCGAGCAGCATGGCATGTCATGGTCATTTTGAGATGAATAGACTCGAAATATTGAAATGCTTTAACTTGATTTTTCTTCTTTTTCTTTCGTTACAGGGCGGCGAGGTGGTACAAGAGACAATAACATCAAATATTCATGATGACATAATTATGTTGGAGTTTCAGAGGACTGATGGCACTTTAATAACTCAACTTATAGACTTTCGTAGTGTAAGTCGATTATAATATCATTCATAGTTATTTTATATTTTTGTAAGGAAGAGATGATTGAGAAATTACATTATCGACCCAATCTTTTCTTCATTTTCTCTCAATAATCCTAAATGTCAGTGTCCGACCCTTTTTGTGTTTCTCACACAATATTTTTGTTGTTTTCTGATGTGAGCCTTCTCATCATCATCATGATGCATGCGAACGAGCAATCGGATGATTGTGAAGGATTAGGGGTTCAAATTGAAATTTTTTGAGAGTTGATATGATCCAGTATATGATTCATGATATATAAAGGGGGTCTAAAAGGCTCAAGTGCCAAACTTAATGCCATAAAAATCATCATAAGCCTTTCGTCAGTTGATGGAACCCCAGCTATGAATTATCTTAGATATTATATTAGAAAAGGACGCTTGAATATCCATTACTGGCAGAAGGTTTCAAAGCATAGAGCAGTATTTAGACGATCTCTAATCGCGGCAATGATCCCACGTGCACCATCAGCCAAGGAAACCAAATTAAGGCAAAAATTCTATTTTATGCCAGCAACTCTCAAAAGTCTATAAATTCTTGACCAGCTAGAATTCTAAAATTAATTCAAATTCAACAACAAGTGCTTCAATAGCTTCAGTCCATAAATCCACAAACTCATCGACTTTACATCCAAAAAGCACATAAGAAAGCCATATAAAAGCATACAATCTCGTCTAGACAGCTTTCAAACTCCGATAAAAATCTCTCACAAAGTATTAATTCAAGCAGAACCCCCACAACGCACTCGACATATCCACAATACATAGAGGGCATAACATGAGATAACAATAACAACACAACCAGAAAGAAAAGAGCACACAGAAAAAAAAACTGATGAGCAAGAATGTACAAATTTAATTTAAATGTTTCTCGGCAATGATATGCATGAAGTGTCGGATGAAAAAAAAGTTTCATATATCTCACTGGCATATCAAAACCCTCACACCATTTATTTCTCTATCATATATTCATGGATATGAATGTGCAAGGGAAGAATGGCAGACATGAGGAACAACAGACAAAAAAACATCCCTCAACGAAATTTGCTTTTATCGATTTTACTTTCCATTGCTGGGTATGCTTTCATATACAGGCATTTTGCTCGTTTGTGCCTTTAACATTTTTTTTGATATGTAACGCACATTCAAACGACGACAAAAAAAGGGAACTGAGAAAAAAAGGTGATTGTGAGAAAAGATGAAAAAGGAGAAGTGAAATGAAATTAAATTTCTACGATGCAGAGTGGAAAAACACTTTTTTTTACTGTTTTTTACATCCTAGAAAGTGAGCATATCCATTCATATTGTTCGTTTGAAATTTAATCATAAAACGCTCGCTTTTCAAACAGGAAAAAAACTATAAAGGGATGCGAAATACTTTTGAAAATGGATGATTCTTTGACGAATGTAATGGGCGATAAGTGAATGCATTTGGAATTTCAGATCATTGATGGATTTAGATGTGATGGGGAATTTTTTGTGTTGTAATGGTGTCCATGGATATTCTATTTGAGCAATGCTTTTGAGTAATGGATTCGCGTTAAAATTGAAAATTCCTTTTGATGTATTTGGAACGGAAATGGCCAGCAATAATATTATGTAAAGTGAATTGTAGATGATATTCATGTGTGGATCCACTTCCTCGAATTTTATTATTATTATTATGGCTAATATAGACTGGGACGTAGTCAGAAGAGGCTGCTAAATGTTAAATCAGAGTCATTTCTCACTAGTTTGGGCAAAACTAGCTTGTGTCAGGTTTGCAACTGTTTCAATCACGTTTTGATCAATTTTGATAATTTCTGGATCATTGATTAATCAGCTATCATCACATTGATCAGTTCAACACTTTAGGTAATCCATTAATGACCCCGAAAACCAAAACTTGAATTTTTCAGTCCAAAAATCCCAAAAACTATTCAAAACAATGTCAAACTTCTACAAAACCAAAGGCTTAACAAAAAAAACTTAAATCCATTATTTGATTAAATATGCAGCACATATCACAAATTATACATTCCATTCAACCCAACTTAAAGTTTTCATTGCCAAATGACATATCATTTCCATTATCATTAATCCTCTATTGTAACGGATACGGATATTCATGTTTGTTATGTTATGAATCGACCCTTCTTCCATATCTTTTTCGTCCATTTAAATAGAGATGGAAAAAACCTCAATTGACCAGTATTTACCACATTTAATTTTATACTAAATGCTGGTTCCAAACGTAATATCTTTTACATTATTAAATTGTAGATTAATCTACGAAGAGCCATATGTAGATAAGGAAAGGGTTATCAAGTTAGTAAAAGTTAATGAAATTTTTCGGTTCTGGATAAAGCTTTTTCACAAGCGAATATGGGGACGATCGTAAGTGATGTCAAGTGAAAAATAGAATTCTCGACCCTCCTTGGTGCTCCGGCATACGAAAAAAATGCTTGTAATGAGTAACGAAAAGCTTCAAACCAACTGCTGGACATCAATTTATGATAACCCCCTAGAAAGGACTTCATTTCGTAATTCTGTGAATAGATTAATATCCAGTTACTACAAACCAGCAAAAACTACCCTTTTTAGATAATTGGATTTTTAATTTAAAATTTTTTTTCATGTAAGCAACATCGTCGGATAGATAGCTAGCTGTGGCATGATAAAACCATTAAAAATCTACAACAACATAATTCCTCTGTGTAATTTTTTTTCCAGTTCCTTATATTTTTATTGTACCTTACTACATGTTCCAAAAAAATTATCTGAGCTTTGCTCTCAACTCTTCCCATTTTGAACCCAACAACCATAAATGAAGACATTAAATAATTCCAAAATATGAGAAATACAAACAAAATAAATATTTTTTGTTACTGTTGCTTTTCTCCTCTATCCTTGCCTTCCTGGTTTTAAACTTTATGCATGGATGTGTATAATATTTGTGTAGAGACACTATAAAAAGATGAAATGATATTCTTATTCGCTCCTCGTACACGCGAAATGAAAATTCAATGTGATTATTATTCCATTGTATATTGTAGCATCATAAAAATACGCGAATATGTGAATGAATAAAGCAATTGAATACAGAGCACTATAAAATGTGCTGAGTACACCAGAGGGGATCGAATGTGTTATTTGAGATTGGATGGAAGTTGAAGAGAAAATGAGCTTTTGAATTGGCTGTGGATTAGCTATGAAAAGTTAACAAATTAATAGTTCTTCTCAGTATGGATCAGTGCCAGCTTCCTGGTATGCACTAGTGTTTATACTATTTATGAAGCGGTTTCTAGGGCTGCTTAATGCCGGCATCCTCACCAACGTTAAAGCTTAAGCTATAATTCTGATTAGGGCTTTGCTACACCTGTCATTCGTGCACCAAAAAGGGTGTTTATTTACCAGATGCATTAACTTGTTTCCAGATACCTCGCAGAGATAAAGCTTCATCCAAAACGTCTTCAGGCTGGATAAGGGTATCAACCAGTTTCAGTAATAGAAGTTTATTTAAAGAATTCCTTTAATAGCGACCCAACCCCCTTCCCATCGAACTCCAAAACTTATCAAAAAATTTCCAAACTTCCCAACACACCACATTTCCACTTAAAAACCCATAAAAACTAATGACTCATCTAAATCCAACTTTCAAATTCCCCAGAAATAGCCAGACACAATTCAACCCAGATATGATTTATCTCATTTCCCAAAATGAGCCATTAAATTTCAATCTTTTTGCAATCATCATCATAAAAAGTTGCAATAACTTCAAATCCACTCAACAAGCATTCAGACGAACCGACGAAAAAAAAAATCCATTTCATTTTCATCCACTGGGATTTCTTCATGATTATAAAACGTGATGTATGCATACGAATATAGAATGCTATTAAAAAGCTTTTTCTTCCTTTTTGCATTGTTTATTATTTAATTCCAATATATTTTCTCATTTTATGCTTATATGAATACACCCTTTTTTTCTCACAATTTTCATTTCCTTTCACACCTTCGCGGGGAAAAATGAATGAATGAAAAATCCACTTTTTTATAGCTTTCAAAAGCTTTTTTCCTCCTTTTTTTGTGTGTGTACATTTACGTCTCGAAATGATGATGAAAAAAAGGTTGAAGGAGAAAAATTAGCAGTAGGGCGATTCTCCAGCGGGGAAATCAGCCAAAAATCACTTTCAAATTGATTATTCTTTAAATTTTCCCACTAAAGCATGTTTGTTCTCAATTAAAACAGATGTATTTTTCCTAATTCTATATCTTAAAGTCATTCAGAAATCATAATTAAGCTTAAATCATTAGTTTTTTCAATTTTTTTAAGCGTTGCTCGGCAACCAAAAATCGAATTCAATTACGAAGAATCAAAAAATTACTATCAAAGAAATATTTTTATTACACTTAATACATACTAAATGGTAGATCGTCTTTAGTTTTATCATATTTAAATAACACATCTTTGATTTAATGCTTTAATTAAGAGAAAAATAGATTCTTCGAACAAAATTTAATGTTGCCGAGCAACGCAAACGCTTTATAGGGGAAAATCTGCTCAACGAAAAATTTAAAATTTGATAAAAACCGTTAGATCTTAAAACTTTCAGTAGTTTATTTGGCACAAAAATGTTAATGATCTAAACTATATCTTATAATAATCATTAAAATGCATATAAATTAAATTTTCAACCTACAATTGACCATAGAACCTGAAAAATCGTTTGAAATAGATATTTTTTAACGGTTTTCTCAAATTTGAAATGTCAAGTAAAAGAAGAATTACAATTCACTTTTGAAAAATTCAATTCTTCTGGAGAATCGCCCAGTAACAGCACACATTTCGAAATTGAAGGAAGGCTCTTTTTTGGATGAATTGAAAAATGAGAATTTTTATTTTATTTTTTCATTCTCAACCAACTGTTAACCCATTTCAGTGTGTTTGGCAGGTGTGAATCATGTGGGTGGATGCAAGGGATGGGA